CATGAGACTCATTGGGAACCAGAGAAGAGTGTGGGGGAAGATCTTAAAAGAATGGTAAAAATCAACACATGGCAGTGTTTTCTGTCTAGGGACCATGACAAAAGTCACAAGGCAAAGTCTGATCAGTGGGCTGTAATTACTATGTGCTCGGTGACTCATCACCCACCATTGCGCGTATGGCCACTGCGGGCTGCTGTTGGCATGAAGGAGCTGTCAGCATTCTGCCCCCTTTCCTTTCAGCTCCTGGGTGTCCTTGTGAGAATTCCCTTCTGTATGAGATTTGTCTAAAGAGAAGACACAACTCTCTTCGAGGAAGTAGAGGGGGCTCCATCACTCCTCTCCCTGCCCAGGCTCAGCCCCTCTGGGAAGACCTCACGGAAGAGGTAACATTTAAAGGGTTCCAGCCAGGTTAGGAACAGGAAGGGGGAGTCTTACAGGGTGAATAAACTGCAAGTCAAAAGGCCTGAGGCAGGAAGACATTTGGTGGGCTCAAGGAATCCAGAGAACAAGAGGAACAATAGAAGTGAGGGCAGAATTAGGCTGGGGCCAGAACCTGTGAGGCCTTGAGGCCATTCATTGCAAGGGGTTGGGAGTATATCCGGAAGCTATCAGAGGGCTGTAAGCAAGAGAGTGGGGTGAGACGGTTTATTTTTTGAAAGGATCCCTCTGACTGCTGGGTAGCTAATGGACTGCCGAGAGGCAAGGCAGTAAACAGGGGCATCAGCGCGGGGTGATTGCTTCAGCCCAGGGAGGAGACGACAGCTGGGACCACAGGAATATCAGTGACGTTGGAGAGAAGGAGTTAGAAATGGCATACAGTTTACAGGTAATGTCCATTGGACTTGCTCATTCCTGTGAGAAGTGAGAGAAAGAAGAATCCAGAATAACTCTTGGGTTTGCACGTTGAGCAAGCGTGTGGGTAATTTAATGAGTAACGGTAGAGAGTGCTATTACCGGGGCCATCGCAGAGAGGGCCACGTTTTGGTAGAGGAAAACAACCAGAGTTTTATTTTGAGGCTGTAAGCTTTGAGATGTCTGTGAGACATCCAAGAGCAGACACGGAGCAGGGTGCTGTTACAGGATACCGGAGCTGGGTGCGCAGGAAAGGACTCCGGATACACATTCCGAGGTCTTTAGCACGTAGATGATATTTAACATCAAGGATTGGATGGTCTCCTAAGAGGAGAACCAGACAGAGTAAAAGGCCCAAGAGCTGACACTTAGGGTTTGACATTTGGAAGTCAAGCCCTCTGAAACAGGAAAGACCCCGAATGTTCCTCTCCCTTCACGCTTGCGTGCCCCACCGCGGAGATCTACAGGATAAACCGCAGAGAGAAAACCAAACCTATGAAGACCGTTTTTAACCTAAGTTGAATGCTGTATGTACATAATTAAAAACATTTGGCCCCAAAGATTAATAACTCCTTTTACATCTTCCTTTGACAGTCGCTCTGATTTGCCGGGCAGGACGGGCGGGGCGGGTGCTTTCTGAGTTGATTAACACCTCCACGTTGCTTTGAGCAAAGTGTGCGGCTGCGACAGAAAATGCCACATTGCAGATGCCTGACTTGGGGATGAGACTCTGACTTCACGCCTCCCGATGGAGGCAGAGACTCACTTCTGACGGAGGGAAAGTATTACAAAAATATATATGTAACACATATTCTATTCCTGATTTAGGTCTATAATCTTATGAGCCAGACTGTAATGAATAAAGTTATAATTAGCTGGAAATGAAGAACACGCAGCCGTGTTTTCTAGGGTGCACTTTGAGGCTCTGATCCAATCTGCACATTTACAAGCTGTGCTATTCGCATCGACTTCTACGGCCTCCACTCAGAGACAGAAGAGGCTGCATTATTGATGACAGTGTGCGCATCTTGCTTATCTCTCTACTATACCCTGTGGGGTGTGGAAGTGCAGGAGGAGGGAACAGCCAGGAAATCCGGAAAACACTACCCCATCCTCACAGAATAGTTCCCTAAATAGCAGCATCCATGTCTAGTCTAGGCCAGAAAACCTCTGGCATGTTCCCCAACTAGATCTACAGGCTGGGACTAAATGGATGGAAATTCACACGAATCGCTGTGACATGTGCTGTGTGACCACAGGCAAGTCACTTCCCCCCTCTGGGTCCTGAGTTTCCACTTGGGAGATGAGAAGGTAGGCTTGAATATCCCTAAGGGTCTCTCCAGCCTCCACAGCCCGAGGATCTCTGCTTCTATCGCAAGAAACCCAAGTAGGACAGCCACCAAGAAAGTTCCCGCGGGACCAGGCCTTACCCCATGCTGCCAAGGAGCCTAGCCCCCATACGCCTTCTCTGTGTTTTGATGTGCTGTGAAGAAGTGTACTGGTAAATGTTTAACAACGGGCTCTCCAGTGAAAAAGCTCTGATCTGCAGTGTTTGCCAATTTCTGTGGTGTGAATACTCCCACCATGGAAGATTTCAACCTACCAACATGATGGCACTGAATACGGAGTTGAGAAAAGATTCACATAATCAACTTTCATAAGCTGGCGCTCCTACCGACCGTAACATACCACCCATGGTATGTGTTGGGAATAACTGGCAGATCACTCCTTCACTCTTCTCCTCCACTTCCCCTGGTCAAAAAATGCTAAGTAGGGGCCAACACCACTGTAGCAGGGGGCAAAGAGAGTGGCTTTGATCTCTTGGAGAGCTCCCTTGGAATATGGATCTCAAAGTGACCGGAGCTTCAAGGCTAAGGGCACAGGCTCTTGAGCCAGACATCCAGGGTCCAAATTCCGGTCCTGCCACTTACGAGCCGTGTGGCCTTGGTTGAGTGACTTAACATCTCTGTAAAAGATGTAAATTGGCGATAATAAATGTACCAGCTTCACAGTTGTGTTAGTCGGCTTAGGGCACCATAAAATACCAAAGACTAGGTGGCTTCAATAACAGAAATTTATTAGTTCAGTTCTGGAGGCTGGAACTCCAAGCTCAGGGAGCCAGCATAGCTGGGTTCTGGTGAGGGCTCTCTGCTGGCTTAGCAGACGATCACCTTCTCACTATGTCTTCACATGTTGGACAGACAGCTCTGGTGTCTCTTCTTCTTATAAGGGCACCATGTCTACAGGATCAGGGTTCTACACTTACAATCTCATTTAGCCTTAATCACCTCAAAGCCCTTATCCCCAGGATAGTCACATGAAGCAGCTAGGACTTCAATTTATAAGTTTGGGGGGAACACAATCCCCCCAATGAAACAGAGTTGTTGTAAGGATTGAGTTAGTGTAAAAAACATGCCTGGTACATGGTAAGCACTCAACAGAAATCAGCTATTGTTATACATATATATTATATATATGTTTTATATTATATATTTAAGATGATCATTGATTCGTTTGAACCACAGAATCAAAGATAAGACCAAAAGAAGGAAAAGAAAAGTAACTCTGCCACAAGGTTTGCGAGCCTAGAACTCTATTTTCTTGGGAGGACCTAGGAACCAGCCTGGAACACAAATGTCCAATCCCTGTGGTCAGTTGAATCCAGCTGTTGGTCTAGAAGCTCTGGGTGAATTGTCAGTGCAGCGTTAGAAATCTGAAGGACAGCATTCAGTGTGTCAATAGTCTCATCCCTTTGGGGACCCCATGGCTGGTAACTGGACCAGCAGAAAGGCCTAGAGGATTCCCTGCTTCTCCTACCTGCAAACCCAGGAGGCCCCATTCCCCACACCCCACCAAACTGGGTACTAATCTTTCCAGTTTCCGGAGGAGCCACCCCCCCCCCCCCCCAGATAACAGTGGAGTCTACTGCAGCTCGATGTGGCTGGCTCCCCCCACAGCACCTCTGACCTCAGTAAGTTCACACCAACTTTGGGAAGGAATGAGGTAAGGAAAGGACAAGTTTGGATGAGAGGAAAAGTAAGAAAAGAGGAAAGGGAATGCCCAGCGCATTAGCGTCACCTAGTTTCTAGGCCTGGAGCCACACACCTTGTGTCCATCCATGCTCTGACGGAGGCTCCCAACAACCCTGAGAGACATTCTAGAGAATTTCCATAAAGCCCCACAGTTCTACCCCTAGGTAGAGAGCCAAAGGAACTGACAACTGGCACTCAAATACTTTCGCACAGGTTTTTATAGCAGCATTATTCACAAACGCAAAAGGCGGAAACAAGCAAAATGTCCGTCAACATGTGCATGGACAAACAAAACGTGCCATACACACACACATTGGAATATTGCTTGGCCATGAAAAGGGAGTGAAGTGCTGATTCGTCCTCCAAGGTGGAAGAACCCTGATGTTGTGCTAGGTGAATGAAGCCACACACAGTCACGTACTGTCTGCTTCCATTTATTTGGAGTATCCAGAACAGTTAAATCCACAGGGACAAAGAGCAGTTGGTGATTGCCAGAATCTTGAGCGGAAGGGAGGAATAGGAGTGACTATTTGACAAGTACAGGGATGTACTTTTGGATGTTTCTTTTGGAGTGATGAGAACATCTTGGAACTTAATGTAGATGATGGCTGCCCAACAGTGTGAATGCACTAAACACCACTTAGTTGTACACTTTATTGTTTTAAATGTTTATTTATTTTGAGAGAGAGAAATGAGCAAGTTGGGGAGGGGCAGACAGACAGAGAGACAGAGAGAGAATCCCAAGCAGGCTCTACACTGTCAGTACACAGCCCAGTGCAGGGCTCGATCTCATGAACTGTGAGATCGTGACCTGAGCCAAAATCAAGAGTTGGACACTTAACTGACCGAGCCACGCAGGCACCCCTAGTTGTGCACTTTAAAATGGTTACTTTAATGCAATGTGAATTCCACCTCCATTTTTTAAAAACCCATTCCACACTCTGGGTATTTTTGAATTGTATTAATTTGTCTTAGAAAAATGACTTTAGCTATTTACAAGAAACTCAGAACTCGACTCAAAAGTGAAGGTAGGAGTGACCCCCAGTTTCTTTTCCTAATCACCCACCTCCGAGACCCAGCCCTGGGAAATAAGAAGAACGAGGAACTTACAACTAGTAACTTTGCGGACGTGCCAGGAGCAGGCCTGTTACTTATTCCATTCCATTTTCCCACTTTGCCAGACATGGTACCCCTTGCTTTGTGTTTATGACAACTCAGGCTTGTTCTCCAAACACCCTCGAAAAATTCATGGTAAGGCTGTTATTCCCATTTTAAGGATGGGAAAACAGAGACTCTTCGGTGTCAGGACCTGGTTTGGAAGTCAAGTCTGCCTGACTCCAGAGCCTCAGACTCTCACATCTGGTATCCCCAAAAGGTATTGGAAATCTCAGCCAATACTCAACAGCCACAGCCACCACCAGCATGGGCCCTGAGGCGGGGAAGGAGGGAGGAAAGGGAGCCCCTTATGGCTCAGCCATGTTTACCTCCCTCAGGTTCCGCTTTTCCTGTCCTCTACTCAACAGGGTAGAAATACGACCCCTTTAAGTAGAAATGTCATTCTCCACAGCACTTGCATAGCAGCATATTCATCTGAAGAGAGACTCTCCTCTGGCAGCCTAAGGCCCGGGGTGGGGGTGGGGGTGGGGGTCAGGGCTCTTAGAATGGCTGGTGGTGCCTTTGTGCTGCCGGGGTACGGGTTCTGTGTCCATCTGAGGAATCCTTTCTATTGCATTCCCTGGGGTGTCCTGGTCTTCTAAGGGATTCCCTGATTTCTCAGAGTGGGCTGTGTGCCCTGGGTGGTGGCTGCAATGGGGTAAGGATCATGGGGGCGGGGGGGGGGGGCCTTCCGGTTTCTGGTCTTCGCTCCTTGGCTGGCGATCCACCTCATCCCCAGACAAACCTTCTCTCCTCTCCGGGCCTCATTCCGTCTGTGTGAAAAGAAGAGGGTGCACTCCCAACTCCGAAATGTCAGTGATTCTCCCTCAACACCTTAACATTTGCCGAGGAACTTGGCAACGTTATACGGATAGAGGTGTCCTCCAAAGTTGAGCGTGAATCACATCCTTGTTATGAAACGACACGCGTGTAAAGCACAGAGCAATGGCGGAGTGTGAATAACCAGCCTCCAGTTCACTGTGAGCTTGTACATGTCTATAGAAGCCAGGAAGGGAGAGAGAGGGAGAGAAGGAGGAAGAGAAGAACCGAAGGGAGAGAGGGGAGGAAGGAATGGAAGAGGTTAAAAGTAGGCACTTTGGAGTCAGGAATGGCAAGTTTGAGTCTGCTCTTGCACTCGTTGGCAGCAAGGCCTTGGGAAAGTCACTTAACCTCTCTCGGCTTCAATGTTCTCATCTGTAAAAGGGGGATATGAGTTAACATGAGGAGTAAATAGAATTACATACTTGAAGGGCACAACACAGTGCTGGGTACTTAATACACACTCAATGAAACACAGAGTATGAAACAAAGAGGGAGAGTGAAAAGAGAAAGAAATGCAAGAAGGTTGCGGAAAGGTGGGGAGGGGAACCCAGACTGAACCCCCCACTGAGCATGAGCTGGGCATTTTCAACAACATAAACCGCAAAGAACAGAATACACAGAATCAGGGAGACGTTTGTCATGGAAATTCAGAGACTGGGCTGCTTCCTCTCTCTTTCCCAAATTTGAAGACACGAAGAGGCAGAGACGGGGAAGAGGCTTAGGCGGGGCACCCCCCCCCCCCACCGGTTCCTGTTGCTGCCACTTACGCTGCTTTGCAATACACCCCAAAACCAGTACGCACCCTTGGGAAGAGTGCCCCCCCCACCCCACCTGAGACCCACACAGACACACACACAAGCACACGTGCATGAACATGCACAAGGCATTTTCAAAGACTCACTTGCACGCCCTCCCCGCATTCACATGCATACCCGACGAGGTCTGCGCAGCCAAGGTCAACGCTTCTCCTTGTGGGAATCAAAAGCAGTTACCCTTTTATCTCTTTGAATTGATTATCTTAGCATTATTTTCCCCCCAGCCTCCCCCACCCGCCAGATGAGTCCAGTGCTGCTCTTACCTGCTGTCAAAGCCCCCAGCTCCCTTGCATGGCACTTGGCATAGTTCATCATCACACATGGATGTGCACGGTTATTTGATTACTGTCTGCCTCCCCTCCTAGACCTGCTGCTTCAGAGCTTGGGGACCCAAGGCTGTGGGTCATCCAGCACCTAGCACCATGCACAGAGTAAGAGCTTCATAAATATGTGTCCGATGTCAAAGGAGTGAGCGCAGCAACAAGCCTTTGCAAATGCAAGGTCACAACACCTCAGACCCCCTCCTTGACCTTGTAGGCTACCCCAGCCCCAGCCCTGTCTGCTCTGCCTCCAGGGCCTCAGCCCTCTGGCTCTCTCGGCTCTGTAGCCAGCCTGGAGTCCAGAGCAGCTCCCTCCTTCCTCGGTGGTGACACTCAGGGCCTCTCTCCTGGAGGGTGGCCAGGTGCCCCAGCGTGGAGCATTGTGTCTATCACAATTAAGATCCAGCTATTCCAGAGGGGTCTCCAGGCCAGCGACCCCTTTATCTTTTTCCATCTGCCACCTCAGCACCTTCGATCTATTCCTATACACCCTTGACTCAGGCCTCAGATCCCTTTGAAAAAATATTTACATTTCTACCCTTCTTTAGGCGACTTCGCCTGTCTCTCTAATAAATAGAACATGAGCCTCGACTGACGCCCAGCCCCGGGCGGGGGGGGGGGGGGCCCCCCCCCCGGGGGGGGGGGGGCCACGGGGAGCCCTGCTGCTCTCACTTGCTCCTCTCCTGGCAGACCCCCCCGGGTCAGACCACCCCTCCCATGCAGCCCTGACCCCCACTCCTCTGTGCCTTCCCCTCGCCAAATCTGCGGCCACCACCTCTGGCCACCACCTCCCGGAGACCAGCTGCCTGGCTTCCAGACCAGAGCGGGTCCAAGGGGTTGATTAGCATATTATTGTGGGGAAGGAAATCCGGAGTAATCACTTTTCCTATTGGCACTAAATAACATTACCTGAAGGCTCCCCCACCCCTCCAGAGGCCAAAAGCAGCCAGAGAAATGAGAACCACCGGTCTGTCTCTTCTCTACCTCTTTTCCCAACCCTGGTTACCCCTCCTCTTCTTTCTTGTTCTTTCCCGCTCGGTCTTCCTAGTCTTGTATGTACCCTGTCCGCCTCCCCTCTCCTCAGATGCTCCTCTGCTGTGTTCTCCTCCATCTCCAATACCCTTGCCCCCTCTCTCTGCCTCCTTCCTTCCCTCTGTCCTTCCTTTTCCCTCTCTCTGCCTCCCTCCATCCTTCCCCCTGTCTCTTTCTTTCTCTCCACCCCTTGCTCTCTCCACCTTACCTCCCTTTTTAAGAAGGATGCAAACTTAGAAGTCGTCAAGAAAAACCTTTCCCTCTCCTAAAACCGCCTGTGCCTCCCTTACGGCTGGGGGCGCCTTCACTGGGACCAGCTTTGCTTTGGTCTGCCTGGAAAGCCATCCGGAATGACAAATCTTAGGACAAATTACTGATTTCTCATCTAATTTACATCCAATTAGTGTGAGTGAAATGAATCATGTGGTCAGCCCCTCAGGGGAAACATTGAGATAACAAATGCCCAGGGCTTCTTTCCTAGGGAACTGCTGGGCCCTTGGGGAAGCCCATGATTTACCCCTCGGGTCAGAGGCCCCCTCCCTTCCCCCAGGCAGGTTACCAGGCCCATAGATCAACCCCGCCCCCTCCTTGCCTCCAGGGCAGGCAGGAGGGAGCTCAGGCGAGGGAAAAAAATAGGTGGGTGAGGACCAGATCTTCTGTGGATCCACCACCCTGGAGACCCATGTCAGAGTGCAGCGCTGAGTTTTGGAAGCAAGTGCTAAGTCTCGGACTTGAGGCCCTCATGCCCACTGGCAGTCACCACTGCCCCTCACAAGGCAGGTGGCCCAAGGCTGTCGTGATCCTAACTGGCATTTGCTGCCATTCACCATGTGCCAGGCCCTGCATTCAGTACTTTGTGGCATCGCGGCTCTTAACCCTCACAACAAAGTATCTCAGAGGCAGGCACCAACTACGAGGTCATCCACTCTTCGGGGAGGGAAACTGAGGCTCAGAGAGGCCCCGTTCCGGGTTATCAGTCAGCAAGATGCAGGGCTGAGGGTTTTGAACACTGGTGATGTGATGCCAGAGTCCAGGCGCCTAACCGTCGTGCTCTGTCGGCTGCGTCCCTTTGGCAGAGGAGAAAACTGAGGCTCAGAGGGATGAAGTCATTGCCCGCGGTCACAGCCAAATTTCTTTCGGCAGCACGGGAATTGCCAAGTCCGCCGCGAACCCTCTACGTGCGGCTCAGGACAGAGACACAGCGCCTCTGAGAGCGGGCAGGCGGAAACCACTTCCGGGAGAGAGTGAGGACAGGGGGAACCACTTCCGGGAGCAAGCGTGTGCAGGTGGGAATCACTTCTGGGGTGAGTGCAGGTAGATTACAGATCGATTACCCAGGTCCTACCCCCGCCCCCGCCCCCGCCCCCGCCCACGCCCAGAGGAAACCAGACCAGAGCACACCTTGCAGTGACTGGGTCACCGCTTGCTTCTTCACGCATGAAGCATAGCAGACGGAATTCAGAAATGTTTCTCTAAAACAAGAAGGATTACTCTCCGAATCGTTTGAAGTGGGAAGACAGGGGCGCGCAGGCAGGGCGGGTGGGGGGCACGGGTTTCTTGTCGGAACAGTGCAGTAGCGGCATGTTTGGGATGAGTTTGGTCTTCCTGTGTAAACTTGTTTCCAGTCTGCTATTTAAAACCTGGCATATGGATGGGATCTCAGCTTCCAGTACTGGCAGTTCTCAACATTCACAGCGACTAAATAAAAAGGGAATTTTAAAAACCAAATGCGGTTTTACCCCATAACGAGGCAAAGAGAGAACTACTAAGAAGTTAACAACTCCCGAACTTGGGCCCAGCCAACCCTCTAAATGTGGAGGCTTTTCTCCAAAGCAGCGCGGGGTGAGGAGGGAAGGGCCCAGCTCCTTTTGAGTTCCTGACGTAGGCCTGGCTTTCTGTGCCTGGGGGCTTAACCTTAGGGGCAGGGCTGGGGTAAGGGCAGGATCTTCATGGTCAGCCAGCCAGACACTGAAGTCCAGCTCTGCCACTCCCTACAGGGTGACCTTGGATATGTTAGTCACCCTCTCTGAGCTCCAGTTTGCTCAGCTGTGAAACAGGCCCAAAATAGGACCTAAACTTGCAGGATGTTGTAAGAGTAACGTGAGCTGATGCTTGTAAAGCATGCAGCATGATGCCCATCACGTACGACGGGTGCAAAAAAACCCCAAACAAAACAAAACCAAAAAAAACCCCTATACTTATTATCTGCGCATCTACTGGGGCAGTGAGGATTATTTTCCTCATTTTTCTGCTTCTGAGATTGGGGGTGTCCAACCCACCTCTTTCGAGGGGCTGAAGATAACCAGTGGTCCCAGGAATGTGAAAAGCAGAGTAGTGGCAAGAGAGGCCTGGAAGGGGTGGGGGGAGGGTAGGAGGAGGAGAGAACAGCCTGGAGAGAAGAACCGGACTCCGGGAAGCATAGGACTTTGGTCACTACAGGCAGGAGCCGAGCAACTAGGATCCTGGGGGAGCAACCCGGCTGGTTCTTCTCTGGATCCCCAGTAACAGTAGCAATTACAAAGTGCTTATTAGGTGCCTGGCACTGTTCTAAATGCTTTACAGCTGTGGGGGGTTTCGTCCCACATGAGCGTCATGGAAGTGGTATTATTTTTGAATAGGAAACAGGCTCGGAGCAGTGAAGGCCCAAGGTCACACAGCTAGACAGTGAGTGATGGGGCTGGGACACCAGCCCGAGTGATCAGGCTCCGGAGCCCTGCTCAGTTACCCACCTCCACTAGCACAGGCTTTAGCATCAGGGGGCATCCCGGTGCAGAGAAGGAAGAATTGTCCCTAGGGAGAAGCAGAATGGTCCCTTTGGCCCAAGTAGACAGGTCAGCTGCGAGCCTCCTATCAGCTCACTAGGGGCAGCGCCCTCCCCCCAGACCCATTCAGGACCCCTGCCCAGCTCCCAACAATCAGGGAAAGCCACCTGAACCCCACCGAGAGCCCATTCCCTGACCATCCCAGGGAGCGGCCCACCACTCCCTTAAAGTGTGGCCGGTCCCGGCAGAGTGACAAAAAGTGCCTCGGCAGCTTTGTGCGCCCTTGGCCTCAGTTTCCTGTTCTGTAAAACGGGAAGGTCACAGCACCTGCGTCACGTGATCGTTAACCAGGCTTAAGTAAAGCAGACTGTACCTGGCACAGAGTTCTCAGTTCTGTTCTTGTTCTCGTTGTTGTTACCGGGAAGGACACCGAGGTTCAGAGCAGTGATGTGACTTGTCCCACTGAGCAGCAGCGGGCGAAGCCGACACCAAAAGTGTTGCATTTGAGCCCTGCTAGGTCAGCCGGGCTGCGGCCAGGGCTGTGGGTGTGCAGGGGTGTCTGTGGGGGAGTCCAGTGGCCTGAAGGCCCGTGACCCTGGTGATGCCGCGGGGCATCTGTGACTCAGTTGTCCCCAAAATGCATTGACACACACACCCCCCCCGGACTTCTTGAGACTCGTGTTATCCCCGCTCCCCATTTCCCCAGAGCCTCCCCTTGGGAGGAAGAACTTTGTCCTGACTCGGAGATTGGCCCCGGGCGCCGAGGACACGCCTGCTCCGGGCTCCTGCTTCCGAACCTGCCACCATCAAGACTTATGGCCGCCTCGTCTCTCCCCCTCGCTGGGTCTGGCTTCATCACTTATCTCCCCGACGCTGACCTGCCAGCAGCTGCAGGAGGCTCTCTCCGGTAAGATTTGATTAATGAGGTTCAGCGGCAACAAATCAGTCTTACGGAGCGGCCCTCCCCTCCCCGGGACACACTCTCACAACAGCCGCTGCATACAAACCACCCGCGGGTGTGGGGCGGCCTCCCCGCCCTCCTGCCAGCCGGCCCTGGCTCTGTGCCCTCCGGGAATGGGCAGGCCAGGCCCGGCCGGACTCGAGGCTCGCCCCCACCACCAGACACTGCGCCCAAGTGCAAGCAAGACGTGTTCGCTTTCTTCTTTTTCTTTTTTTTTTTTTTTTTTTTTTGCCTTATCTTCAAGATAATAATCTAATTATTACAGTGATGTAAATCATAACAGCTACTGTCTCCGGACTTGCTGTACGTGTGCCACTTTGCTCCACACTTGGCATGATTTTACTTAGTGAATCCTCTCGACGGCCCGATGGAGTGGGGAATTTACCACTGCCATTTTACAGATGCGGAAAGTGAGGCATGGTGGGTTGGTAACTTGCCCAGAGGCACCCAGAGAGTGGCAGAGCTCAGCATTGTGGCCTTTCATGATACTTTCCCACGCGTCCAAAGTCCTAAAACCCTTTGAAAATACGATGAAAGCTTAGGTGTTTCTTGAAAAAATGCACGTATCTATACACACCTTGCCACACGATTTCAGTGCGGACAGATGCACCCACCATGTACCTCATCTGTCCTGAGGACTCTGCCGCCCCAGCTCGCTCACTGTGAAACTCAGGCATGGCCCTCCCGCCCGGGACCTCAGTCTGTCCTGGAAGGACTGGAAACTGGGAGGGAAGAGGGTCCTACCTCGGGGGGGCCCATCTCTCCTACGCTCTGCTTCAAAAGCAGACACCTGGGTCCTGCTTCCCAAGCTCATCTGCTCACTCCCCTTTAGAAAGTTCCTGTCATTGGAAGGCAGAACTGTTTTTCTCTTTGAGCCTCCCCACCACTCGGTGTGCATCACCCCACCCCGGCCCTTCTCCTTACCCCAACTGTTTTATTGGAACTGTTTGCTTCTCGAGTAGTTACAGGAAGTCCATGGCCTATGTCCACTCCTCTCCAGCATAATCTACGCATCATTCAAGTGCATGTCCTTCCAGCCATCGGTGACCTCAGGTCACCTTCCTGGGAGCCTGGGTAGTAGCCATCCTGCTTCAGCTGCTCTCCCGGCCCCCCCCCCCACCCCAGATCCTCTTGCCCCTGGCCCACCAGACCCTGACCCCCACCCTTTCTTGCACGCTGAAAGGGCTGTGGATCTCCCCCTTCCGTTCCCCTCTTTACCTTCCCCAAAGCCCTCACATCCCAGAAACATTTGTCAGGGATTTGCCAATAGCCACTTTTTCATCTGCTGGGGCAAGAGTCATCTTTGCATATAGATGTTTTGTAATAGATGCTGCATTGATTATGTAAAGTTCTTTTGGGAATCGTCTGGCCATTTCTGGGTCCTCACTGACCAGTTCCACCTCCAGCACACATCTCGGATCTCCTGGGTCAGGGCTCCAAACCACCTGAGCCAGAGGCTGGGGGAGGACACAGTCAAATGGCCACTCAGGTGGCGAGGACAAATGACTCCACCACCCCCACCCCCTGAGATGGACTTGAATGGCCACCCTACTTTGGACAGGCTGGCTGAGGAAGGTCCATTTCATGTGAACATGGCTCGTTTCTC